CAGCGGCAGCGCGGCGGCGCGGCGGCGGCGCGGCGGCGGCACAGTGGCGAAGGGGGGGCGGCGGCGGCGCGGGGCCCCGCTGCACCCACAAAGAGCGGCAGCCCGTTACGACGTCGCGGCGCTCAGTGCTCTGCGCGATCAGCCCCAAGCCGCACCGCACCGCACCACGCGTCACGACCCTGAAGCTACGCGCTTCCTCGTTCCACGCCACACCACGTGTAAGGCAGGCAGGTAAGCGCCCTCAGGATGCCCAGGCTGCTCTCGCTGGGCTACGGAAGTTGCTCAGTTACCGTAGGCTCATCAAATTTCGTTTTAGCAATAATTGAACTCCGTTGTCAAATTGTCTTTAGTTGGCCAATTAGAAAACGGCTTTCTTTTGAATTCAAGTTGGGTGGAGAATTCATGAATTTTTTTGATCTCTAGATGAAAGAAATGGACATTTATGTTATTTACATCTTCTTACTTGGCAAATTTATCCCATTCTCCTTGTCTTATTCCACCAGACACAATATCCCGAATTTTTCTAGTGTTCTGGGAAATATTAACTGCTTTCTAAGAAACTAACACAACTTTCCTCTCTCATGGCACGTATCGAAGTGTTCAGTTCAATTTATTATTTTTAATCGGAATCTTTCTAAACAATAACCAATGTTATATTCTGTCGGGTCATTTAAGTGAAAATGCAAATTTTTTATAGATATTTTTTCCAAAGTTGTTCATTGTGAAAAATATGAACGTATCGTACTCAGATTCTAAGTCCTTGTTTATGAATTCAAAATTCTTGTGATAAATAAAATCAAAGTGTAAAAAGGTGTCGGAATGATGTGTCAAACAAATAATACTTGTGTAAATACATTCATGTATGTTCGTGACATATTATATGTGTTCAATATTGAAAGATGGAACTTAAAATAACTTTAACTAATTCATCATGTGCTGCAAATAATATCGATTTTATCTATTCTCAAAAGTTAATAGACGCGAAATTCAAATCCACACACACACACAGACAGATGTATATGAAAGAGGGAGGGAGAAAAAAGAAAGAGAAAGAGAGAGAGAAAAAGAGAGAGACAGAAAGAGACAAAGAGAGAGATAGAAAGAGACAGAGACAGAGAGAGGGAAATATAAAGAGAGAGAGAGAGAGAGAGAACACAGATATGTTGGATGAGATATCACTTTGAGATATTAGATACATATATTGGTGACTTCGTCATTTTTATATACTGATTTATTAAAAAATATTCATATTCAATTATTTGTGATTTCAGTACGTGAATAAGCGAACCTCTCCTCCTGTTGTAGTATATTAGAGAGAGAAATATCATGTTCTGGAACATATACACGTGTTATCCAGGTAGTTGGAGAATTCCCTCGGAAATCCAGATTGCTTCCCTCCTACAGTGGCAAACATTCTCGTAACAATTAAATTGCATCCGTTTTAAATCCGAGAGAAGAAAGACCCTGCATAAAGCTTAACGGTACATGGGTCGCTGTTTTGTATTTTGTCGTTTCTCTCTTTCTGATTACAAATAGCAAAATACATACAAAATACCAGCAGCAATAGAATTATTGTCATCAATTTCCAGATAACCTTATATTTGTTGAATAATCAACATCCTGGAATGGATGTTAAACACGCAGAATGCAAAAAATAAATTTAAAATAGTATGGTACATAAATTTACTAAACAATACGCGCTCTTTTCAAAACACACGGCTGAGTTATAAATACGCACCACTTGTCATGTCAAAAGAGGTGTTACCACAATTTACTCTAAGAGATACTTGCGAACTATATTTACGGTAGGGTTAGGTTTGGGTTATTTTGTGTTTCCGATCACTTTAACTGCTATGTTTTGAGTTCATTTGAGTTAGTCCCGTATATGTAGGTAGTGTTTATTATATACCGTGAGATGGGAGAATGATGAGAGAGAGGATTGAGATCGAGCCCATCTACACGTCGATTTACAGGGGTTTCTCTCCTTCAGTGATGTCTCCAGCGGGCACCGACCCCGTCGGGACTCGCTGTAAGCTCGCGATTGGTCTCACAACATGTGAGTTAGTACAGTCCCTGTAAATGCAATTGTGAGTGTGAGTAAGATAAGAGGAGGGGATACGGATCCAGAAGAAAATATTGCGCGAGGTCCGTGACCCGTTTCTTAAGGTATTGCTTCGGCATTCGCCTGGTATTAAACGAAAGAAAAAAACACGGTAAACTACCGATCAGAGCAGCAGGCAGTTATAATTATCCACCATCCAGCGGCTACATTCGACCTAACTACTAGATTCCATTGGATCTCAAACCCTAGGGTCTTCCAGACAGGAACGTTGCAGTGGTAGTGCCATGAGACATCTCACGTGGTGTTAGGTAAAACGAAAGTTGATCGACGGGAAAACCCCAAATGCTCAATAAATTATCCATTTAAATGTGTAAAGCAACATCCACAGATGTACTTATATTCACAATGTAGAAGTTTGAATTCATGCAACATTAATCACTTAATTAACAGTCTAATGCATATATTCAACTAAGCTCGTACTCAGCAATTAACATACCATCTGAAACCGGAATGCGCGAGATTTGCGTCCCAGCGACAGTTGCAGCCCACTCTCAATTTCAACCAAGCAGCCCTGAGCTGAAGAGGCTGCGTGGTGTTGGGTCGGCGCAGGTAGCCGGAAGCGGCGCGGCGCTGAGGTCACTGACCTCGTCCGCGCCGGCGCCAAGGCCGCGCCGCCCCTGTCCCCTTTCCCGCCTTTGCCTGCGCTTCCGCCCGCCCCAGCCCCGCCCCGCCTCGCCCGTCCTCCGCCGCCCACGCCCCTACACGCCCCGCCACGCGCTGCGTCCACTGCTTCTACTCCACGGCAGCTCGTTTGTCCGCTGAGCGCACTGGCGCCAATCGCTTTGCAACACGGGTGATATTCTTTCCACAAGGTCGTGACAACGCATTTGCTAATTAATTCAGAGCACGCTTCTAATTGGGATACCTATGATACATGCTGGGTGTAGTTGATGGGGTGCTGGAGATTCGTTCCCATACCCCTCCGAATTTCGCATAAAGTTTGAGGAAAATACCATGCATTATATACACACATATAATACTTACAATGTATTATGATACAATGTATAGAGCAGAGAAAATTAAGGGGACATTTTTTATTATGCAGGACATTTTTCTGAAATTACAATCAAATTGTTTTCTTCGACTTTTTAAAATTGAAAATCGCACAAATACACAGAGTTTATAACTTGGACGAACTTTTTTTAATATTCATTGTGTTAACGACTATTTCATCATGACATAAAGGTGCGAATAAATGTTTCGTTCATAACTGATATTAGATTTATATTTTCAAAACTTTCATTATAAGACGGATATAATTATATCTATGCTAGTTTTGCATTTTCTTCGTTAATTTTAGCATGGTGATGACTCCTCTATGAATTTACTGTTTGCTACCTAAGCAACATTAAATTTTCAGGCTCCCAGAACAATTTTTCTTATGAAGTGACTTCAACGCCAGGATAGAAGGCGAACCCGATCCGTCGCGATGGCCGAGCGAAGGGCGCGTCGCCCAGACCCTGGAGGCCCGCCAGAATGGAACGGTGCCTGGCGGGCGACGAAGGGATGGTGGGCGAAGGGGGCGAGGGGCGATGACTGCGCCGAGGCGAGTCCCGTTCGGCGGCGGCCCCGGTTCGCAGCCGCGCCGCGTCATCTCCCCGCAGGCCCCGCTGCACCTGCGCTTGTTTGATGAGGCTCAGGCGGAGGCTTGGCTCTCTCTTTCTCTCTCGTGCGCGGTTCAGCCACTCCAAGTACTGAACTCGATGTACAATCCGCTTGCTTTTTCTAATTTCACGATCTGAATACACGGGATTTAATTCCATCATGAGAGTATCCTACCTTCGAGATGGGCGCGCTTCAAAACCATTCCAGTGTGAATGATTTATCTCATGAGATAGAGAGAGAGGGTCTGAGAGTAGCGCTGCGCACGTGTGGCATCTCTGGAGCTGAGAAGCTAACGGTGCATGTTCTTGTCTTCCTGGAAGCCACTGGCCTCGAGACAATACGTTAAAGAAACATATGTCATCTACCCATCTTCAAGCTGAATGCAGGCTCGACAAGTCTTCTGAGATAAGAACTTTGTCTCTTTAGCCAAGTTCTTTTGTACTGCGATAGAAATTACCCATACTACAATTAAGGTGTCGTCAGACAGTGAAATTCAACAAATGCAGAACTTGCTTGGCAAGTGAAATAAAAAGTGGTTGTAAAAAATTAAATGTAAAATCGACATTATTGATACATAGTTAAGTGAAGGAAATAAGTTTTACTATTAATTCCCCTTTCCACATTAAATTACTACAGCGCATACGGTTAATTTTTTCGTATTTAATTTTTGTATATTTATTGCACATTTTTATACTGTATTTTTATATTTTTATTTTCATATTTTATTATATTTTTTTAATAACAAGTAAACAAGTACCTTCTTGGGTATCCATTTACAAGTAAATAAGTGTATGTGTTTAACAATAATCGCGAGTTTCAGAGCACAAAAATAATTTTAAGTATATTAAAACTAGAATTTGAGAAAGGTGCAAAATTTTCCAGTTACATTTGATATATTGTATATACTGTCCGGGTGACGCCGCGTCGAAGGCTGTGTTGCCGACGTTTCGACCATCTTGTCGTGGTCTTCCTCAGGGCTGGTATGCCAATATACCGCGCGGAAGGAAATTTCGCGCGCGGTTCTTTTGTTAGGGTACTGCTCCGGCATTCACCTGGTAGTAGTGGTTGATGCGAGTGCGTGGGCGCAGGTGATGCCGAGCTGCGGAGCCGTATGATATCAGTTGATGCCCTGAACCACCTCTCCCGACGGGAGAGTAGAGTGCGGTCGTTGAGGCGTGGGCGTGTGCACAGGTGATGGCGGGCTGCGGAGCGGCGTGGTTGGGCGGCGCGGCGCTGCTGCTGCTGGCGTGGGCGACGCCGGGCGCTGCGCAGGTGCCGGCGCTGGGGCCGTGCCCCGACCTGCAGACCATGGGCGACTTCAACATGGCGCGGGTAAGCATCTCTGCCTCCTTTCCAGCTCACAGAAACCATTGCATTGTGTTCTCTACGACAGTCTCGTTCATGGTTTTGAGAGTTTCACGAGTGGAGTATTCATTCTTAGGTTTATGTTCATTCGTAAATATATATAAATTCACATGATTAGACATTAAGAAAAAAATGGTTAGTTTGCTAAGTCTGTAAGTACTTTCAAGACTATCAAAAGTCTAATACCGTTACCTGATGGATTTTGTGAAGTCATGACAGTGAAAAATACTTTCTAAGCCAGGTATGACAACTATTGGGGCAAGCTTTCAACAGTTCGCTGACCCTTCATCCATACCAACTGCGTTGTGGTATAAAAATAAAGATTGTACAAAGTGTTCTGAGTGGCGGCGTGTCCCTGGACACGTGGCATGAGACAGTCTTTTGAAGAGGTTTTTGAAAAAGTAAGCTGAGAGTTACAAGCCCAACATATATTAATTCCTATTTCCTTTATTAAGGCGAAGAAATGATCCATTAAAATGAAATATATGTCAGCTTTGGAAATAGTTGATTGCGAAAGTAATATTAAACATGCGTGAATCGAAAATATCTTGGTTTTCATAGTCGCCTTTACTTAAGAATGGAATAATTTCATTAACTTATTGCTTTCGGGTTAAGATTACCGGACCAAAGATGTGCTTAAAAGCGTTTCGTACGTACATAGCCTTGTAATTTTTTTCCCATTATTGAATATATTTAATCAAACCGCACTCTGTTCTTTGTTACATTAACCAGTATGAATTTATAAAATTTAGGTCCCGGAATGCTCCCCAAAAAATTTACTTAATAATTTAATAGAAATAAATGATATTATAGTACAATTTAATAATTATTCCTAAGATACCGGAACGCCGAAATAACAGATTTGGTCATTGAAATATTATGCTGATATGTGTATATATATATATATATATATATATATATATATATATATATATATATATTTCCTTTATTACTTCCATATATTCCATTTTATACGAGGGTAAGTGAATAAGTACCCGCACTCAATAATTTGAATCGATTACGACGGTGCCAAATTCACTATGACGCTATTTCTCAACTAAGGCACATTGCGTTTCAATGTAATATCCCTACCTCAACACCGACTTTACGATGCCCTCAAAAAATATTTTTGATCGAGCAGCAGGCCATGCATGCACTGATTCTTCACCTGAAGGTTATAGGCAAATCTTTGGCATTCATAAGTCATCACTAAATATAGACGGTAATTGGACATGCAGAGCCTGGGCGGCGGTATGTGGACGCGCGTTGTTTTGCTTCAAAAGAATGTGTTTCAACAATCCGTCTCATGTCTCGCATTTGCAGAATTAGGCTAACAAGTATACTGTTTGCCACTTCTTCAGCAATCACTCATCGGTTATTCAAAATAAGGGAACGGACATGCTCAATATTGGAACTAGTACTGGTTGAGGCTGTACATTTTGCTTTTTTCTCTCATCAGGCTTGCTTTACTGATTTTGAATAGTTCAATTTACTTATAAACTCATTCTCGAAGAAAAGCAAAAGACCCACATTGTTCTGATTTTTTTTCAAGAATTTCAGCTTTTGGTACACATTTAGGTCCAGTGGAAGCGATGCTCCCAAAAATGTTTTTTTAACGCCATCAAATGACTAGAATGCAATTCCCCCAATTCAGCACGCTAATATATAATAAAGCGTAAACAACAAAATTCAATAAAACCTAGTTTAATGTGTGTACGATTTTGGGATTTTGAGGTCGATATTCCGACTTTGTCTTCAAGATAAATGCGTCTTCCATGCCTGAGCGCAGTTAAATACCCATGACTGAGGGTAACAGCGGCATATGGTGAACATGACATTCCCATCACCGCAAATAACAAGATCCGCCTGCCTGAGCTTCTCTTCGTCACATAGCTACAGAAACAGGGAAGCTACAACTCTTATTTTTGTCTCGACTGGGAATCAAATCCAGAACCACATCACGGGAAGCAAATACACTGCCCTTGAGCCATCCTAGAGGCAATAAAGGTAAATAAAAGTCTATATTGAAACACTACTTACATACTTTTTGCGAAGGATCCTTGTCAGTTACGCTTACCGGTAGTGAACTTTTTTCTATCTTTCTACCTGATTTTCATTAAACACTCGTGTTTTTCTAGTTGTTCGTCATTGCAACAACTATAGGTAATAGAATTCATACAAAACAAAAGGATTAGAATTTCAAAATACGGTGATCACACTCCAGCTATTTGCTGACAGCACTTGCTTCAACTAAAATTATTTTCTTTAAAAACTTTCTCTAGCTTAATTTTGCTTGCAATAATGAAAGTACTGTACTTTTTATTGAAGCAGAAATGTGTGCTCTATTAATGTGAAATGATTACCATATTCATAAATTTACGTCGTAAAGGGATATCCAATAATGAATTTCTCAAAATGTAAAGTACTTTCTTGTGAGATCAGATAGTTTGTCTATCCCAGTCAACAACCACAACAACGTTGAAGAGAAAACGTAAATCAAACAATAATTCTCGCTTGAGATCTCACACACATTAGAATAGTACAAAACGGTGCGAAATGACTGCCAATAACTGGGCGTAGATTCACAACTCGCCACACTCTGCACGCGGAGGACAATAAACAGGAAGAGGGAGCTTTTTCCAAAGCGGTCCACAAAATAAACTGGACTTATCAAATGCACATTTTAAAAATACAAACCTAATATTAAATGAAACTAAATTCACCAAATATCCTAAATAATGCATTCAATACCATCATTAATTAACTGAACTTGTGTTCTTTCAAAAATCAGAGAGATAATAAAATTAAAATAGGTTCTATCAAATAATATTCAGAGGGCTCCAACTTCTGAGGATGAGGGGGCCAACTCCTGAGGCTAGAGCTCTGCGATAAGGCTGGGGTGCTTCTAATACGAATATCGTTGGGCTACTGAAACGCACGGGGATTGACTGACTGTTCGCAATGTTCACGCAGGGGAACATGAGTTCAGTCGGATAGTACAAGCTTTACAACGTTAAATGCCCGCAAGAGCGTGACGTCATACATCGGTGCGCTGTATGACTTTCTACTAAACAACAGAGAGAACGCTCGACCTTTCCTCTTTAATTTCAAATTTATTTTATACATGGATATTGATGCAATTTCTCGAACACTGTATGACATTGAATAGAAAATAAAATATATTACAAACACTTGGAAGTATTTTATGATTATCCGGGGGTTGTACAACTGTGCAACCTAAGCACTGTTCATATATCAGAGAATCTATCATCTAGCCTGTTCTTTTTTGGTTGTGAAGCCATGATTACGACTCAGCAATTCAAGCGAACATTAGATAACAAAGCTGAAAATTACTTTAAGTGAAATGAACAATGTCATCTGAAGGCTGGTAAGTGTACAAAACTGAACAGTAAACCAACAGACCATTCGAACGAAAGTGAAGATACTTAGGCCTATTGACTTAACAATGTGTATGTCATATCAGAAATAACCGTCAATCCTTAGATAAATAAGAAATGCCGACTTAAATTTTACTGAATACATGAAATAGAGCCACATTACATAAAATAAAATAGCAATACTCCCCCCTCCAGTTTTCAGCAACAATAAGCTGAATAAAAGGATAATTTATTTTCACTCCTCAATAACAAACAAGGTGTTGCAATGGGAAACAAAAAAGTAAAAAAAGAGCTAGGCAATGCGCGTGAAGAGCATCCAGAGCTTAGCCCTCACAGGTGTGTTTGCAGGGCTTGGCCATGCGCGGAAGAGGGAAGTTGCGACCGCGTTGCGCAGCCACTCGCAGCCTCAACAAGGATTCCTCAGCCAGGCGCATCAGATGATCTCAACACGATAGCGGTTAAACACCCAGCACGCCCTTCACCGCAAAATGATACTATACCCGTCAGTTATAAAAAACGTTACACAAAGTGTTTGTATCAAATATTATTTTTTAGAGATTTAAAAAAAACATGTTTTTAAGCAGACCTTGCAATTTGAGAAGTTTTCTGATTCCGAAGGATATTTTTTTTCCGTTTGTTAGTAAATGTACGGAACGGCACGTGAAGTTTATGTATGACCTGTTACTGTCGTAAGATGCAATTTTGTCTTTTTCGACAGATGTCACCATTCTAAATAATTTTATTTTAGTTTGATTAAAATTACTACGTGTTTCAAGGTTTTGTAACCCCATCATTAGAGATTTATTTAGTATCGAGGAGGAGGCGACTGAAGGATAAGATATACAATTCTGTAATTATATAAGACACTCTGAGGCTAATGCTATAATCAGATTTTAACATCCACATGTAGAGGAATTACAGCATACATTTTAATATTTTAACATACATTTATATATTTGTAAGACTATTTGTATGACTTGAGTGTTGGTTGTAGGTCAACACATGTTTTAAGTGAACTTGAAAAGAGGTGAAAGGAAGAAACGAATTGTGCTATTATGATTATTATGATTTACATTATCATGCAAACAAACACCACCATTCACTAAACCGTGCTTGTGTTTTATCCACTGGCAAATCTTGTTGTTATGTAACTGGCATGGCGGGCTGTGTAAAGCGGTGCGGTGTGGCTGTTGCAGTACCTGGGCCGCTGGTACGAGGCGGAGCGCTACTTCGCGCTGTTCGAGTTCGCGGGCAAGTGCGTGAGCGCCAACTACTCGGCTGCCGACGACGGCCGCTTCCTCATCGTCAACCGCCAGACCAGCTCCCTGTGAGTCTCCAAGCGCCTCCACTGCACGGCACACACGCGCCTCTCTCACTTGACCGTTCACGTGCTCTTCCTGATCGCACGCTATGCACGATTGTTTCTTCCCTGTCACTCTTACTCATTTTCGTAACACTTTTTTGACAAATCACAAAAATGAATTGCCTCTCTTAATAGACAGCCTCTGTTCCGGAAATCACATGGCTCAATCCGTTAAGAGCAAGGAACTTGTAATCAAAGATGGCCCATAAATACTTCTATTCAAAGTAAAAGTTTTTTAAAATTTTTACGAACTGTTCTGATGTTTAATATTTTATCACACATTTATACTATTTTATGACTTGAGTGTTGGTTGTAGGTCAATACATGTTTTAAGTGAACTTGAAAAGAGGTGGTATAATGAATAGTATTGAATAACGGACGAAAATACACATAGCAAACTCGGTTGATTATACACCTCTGCTATTGCCTCGGTTTCAATCGCATCTGTTATTTGACCCACTGGCATAAAGATATTAATAATTCTAACACCATTTTCTGTCTCTATTCTGATCACTTTTTCGAAAAAATATTACGAAGCGATTTACTGGATTGATATATCTACACGTCTCATACAATGGATTAAGGTACATGACTGAAGTACTTTAATAAAAATGAATTAAGAATAAAGAATTGAATAGCTTGTTTTTTATGAAATATAGGATATTTTCAACTTTATTTATAATAGGTTTCACATGATAACTTCATTGGCTATATTTATAATAGTAATTGTTGAATTCAAACTTATTTAACTTCTCATTCTCAATTTTGTTTCATTTCTCGAAGGGATCACATAGCTTTATACTGTTTTGTTTTTGTTGCGATTAATCTGACAGAGTTCTTAAATATTGCAAAGTCAAATACTGAAGGTCGAGAGTCGATATGAGAGCGTGTGTGCATGCGCAGGACGGGCATCCGGTCGACCATCGAGGGCGAGGTGCGGCTGGTGGGGCGCAGCGACGAGTCCAAGCTCAGCGTCAAGTTCCCCTCGCTACCTGGTGAGTCACCCGCCTGCAGGCAGCCATTTAGCCACATGCGCGTATAAAAAAAGAACGGCGTATCTTTGCATCGTCATGTTTCTTTGAAAACCACGCAAGATCCATTTGCCTAGGATTTTATATTAATTACACGACGAATCTCAGAGCAAAAATACACGGAATCGAAAATTGAAAGCTTGGAAAGTCTGACAGCAAACTGATTCTTCAGCGCAATTTAGGATTCTCGAATGTTCCAAAAAAATAATCAATATGAAGTAAGAAAAAACCCGTACGTGGGTTTTTTATTAAATAACTCATAATAATTGAAACATAATTTAATGATAAGAATAAAAAAGCAATAATTCTGGACACCTGTCACATTGTAAGAAAATCGTGTAACTGATGTCTGACATGTATCGATGAAGGTCTTGAGAGGAAGTAATGAGCCTGCTCTTGACTTGCTCATCGATGCCGTACGTGTGAGCCAGGCCACAACAGTGGCAGGTGGATATGACCACACCCATCCACGTGAGAGAAGTGCACGAGTTATAATAGTAATAGTAATAATAGTAATGATAATAATGATAGTAATGATATTAGTGATATTAATGATAGTAAATAACAATAAAAATAATAAATAACATTATATTTATTAATATTACTATTAAAATAGTTTCGTGAAGATGAACCTTTAATAAGAATTTATTAAAATAGTTTATAATGAAATTAGCTTTTCTTCTCTCCAGAAAGTTTTCTTTTCTTAAATTACGCGTTTTTTAAACAAAAGTCACGATATGCCAGTAAACTTTGCGCTGGTTCAAGCTGTAGAAAGTTAATTAATATTCACATTACAAGACTCACTTAATGCTCAAAACTAATGTGAAATAGGAAGTATGAGTGAAATATGAGGGAATAGAACGGATAACAATGTTCAATGTGAAATAAAAATGTCTTCCTTGCAGTGTCTCTGGCAGCGCCGTACTGGGTGCTAGACACCGACTATGAAAACTACTCTGTGGTATGGTCCTGCTCCAATTTTGGCCTCTTCAGCACAAGTGAGTATTCCTCTCCTCGGATCCTGCCGACTACATTCTATCTACCCTAATCTCTAACTTCCATCCCGTTATCTCCATTTCATAATATTTGAATTATGCTATTATTTGTTTCTCCTGAACATTAATTGTACTTCCGAACATTACAATATTGTTTTATCACAACAAAATATCCTTGATGGAATTTCACAATATAATTATGAATACATATTGGCTTCAAAAAGTAAATACAAATGACACATTGACTTATGATTCAATAATTAAAACAACTACAATAATTAGTGTTGTTTATAAATACTTCTCGAAACAATATTTTACACAATCTGCTGACTGAAAGAGAGGTCCACGTACAGAAATCATGCAAAGCCAAAGGTGTAGTATTTCCTTACGGAATACTATCTTTATGGAATAATAATAATAATAATAATAATAATAATAATAATAATAATAATAATAATAATAATAATAATTTATTCGTACAGGCGAGCTCGTTGGCAGATAAGTATAGTATGCCATCTTCTAGTAGAAATGTAGGCAGCTGACACAACGTTCCGCTTTTCCCTGAGGATCTATTAAGCTCAACTAAATGAGGTTTCTTTAGAAAATATTACTATACTCTAGTCCTCCATTGTATCAGATAATGAGCACTTTCCACCATGGCAGAGGGCTTTTTTTAATTTGAAAGAGATACATTCACCGTTATATGAAGTCCTCATTCAAAAGCGTGTGGAAAGAAATGTGTATCAGAACAGGCACACAGCTCCTTACTCACTTGCCAAGCAGTATTCGGAAGGTTTCCTTTCGTAGATAACGTCAAATCTGGGTGGTTAATCAGAGACGACCTTCTCCCACGAGGAGAGGTATTTCCAGTGGTCTGTTTTTTTACCACAATAGTAGTCAACAGGTATTCAATTCATTGCAACAATCGCACAGTTCATCATTTTTTAAATTTTCTGACAATTTGGATTAAAATCAGGTTAATGTTTGGCCACGTGTGCGGTGACAGTGCAACTTTACCCAACATTTAAAAACCACCCAAGCAGATTTTCTCTATCATACGAAACATTACTGGATCTGCGCTCGCCAATTTCACCAGCCAACTGTTACTCAGAATATGAAATTAAAGGACAGGTATTGTCACTGTTACAGTTCTAATCATTCGATGATATAATTTAGAATATAAAAAAAATTCGAAAGAGCAAATTGGAGTAAATATTGTTTAAACATTTTCTACCCTAATAAGCACTCTTAAAAATAATATGTTTCATATTTGTATGTGAACGTAGAACAGTTTTGTTATAACTAAATTTTATGAAAATATTTCTGGTCAGTTGTTATCATGGTTGTGTAATCTGTTCTATACTTTTAAACAGGACATACATAAACTGCAGAGAATCACACACTGTCTCGTCATGTTTGACGTTACACAATATTTACATTATTGGTTGTCCATGATTTAGTAAAATAAAACAATATTTTAATGACGTGACACAGTTATATAAACTTTCTATTGTATTATATCATTCATACCATTCAAAACCATTAAACTTTTAAGAGTTATACGAATACTAAAACATCCCGTTAATTATATTCATTTCTTATTTTGTTTTAAAATACGTAAATTTATCTTAAACGATTGTACAAATAACGTTGCAAATTACACTAAATGATATGTGTAAGAAGAAATATTCGTAGGTTAAATTACATGCACCAACTTCATTACGTGTTATACGTACGAACGCATTCTTTTTATTACGTGTTGTAAATGATTCAAAAGCAATTTATTAAAACACGTATTTTAAGTTACAAAAAGGTATTTTTAAACAAAATGTGTGATCAAAAAAAGATTTTGTGATTTCACTGTTTAAAATTGATATAGCCTATTTACCAAAATTCCGAAAAATATCAGAGCGGTTCGGTTTAAGTTATTGAACAATCAGTGCAAACACACTGAAAAAAAATGTGGAGCAAGAAGAACACCGACCTCTTGCTCTGCATTCAAAATGTCTTTATTAGGCTTTCTCTTCTCTGCGTAAAATGGGCAAATATTTTCTTTATCTGTAGTAATATTTAGAATAATTCTAAAGGAGCTCAGCTACTTCATATTATTGTATTCAATTGAAACTGACTTTGATAGAACATTTAACGGTTAGTGGTGAGACAAACGTTTCTATTCAGTTTAAATAGTCGGGAGGCAACACGATGTATTTCATTCATGTAGAGAACAGGAAGTTCAATTCATCGGTAGTTATCAAGCGGAAGTGACACATTAGGAACACGGAAATGTCAGTGGACCTGCTTCCAGAAACTATTATTTTACGGAACATTTTTTTAAAACTACAGTTGTGACATAACTCACATCTTTATGCTTAACGGCACTTTTATTTAAATTCGCGAGTACAAACTATACAAACATTTCCCTTGGTTCATTATTTCATAAAAAATATTAATGTTAATGTAATACAGTGTCTAAGTAGAACTGGAAGAATGTGATGAGAGAAATTTAAAACAATTTTGGATATACTTAACAAGCCTCCGGTGCCAAACATAATTATCGCTTTTTTATGTCTCCCGCCTTAATAAACTAATCCGCGAGAGAGCCCTTTAAAAAACCACCAAAGCTGCCGTGAATGAATGCAATAATAACGGAGAAATTATCGTTCGGAAGAAAATGTAAAAGAAAAAACGATAATCAGAGCAAATATAGCTGAAGATAAGACGTGCGTAGATAACTTACTAGGAGGGAAACTGAACATGGAAGTTGATTTTCTCTCGTAGCCATAATCAGAAGCACGGAATTCAAACATGTTAAGATACGACAAAATGTAGGTTACGAAGTATCGAAACATCAGCTGCTTTCATAGAGTGAATCACTGGGACAACAGGTTACACACCAAAGGTGTGAAGCGTTGCCTCAGAGTGAGAAGCGGAGGGCGCGGTCCCTGATAAGAGCGAATCGGGCGCCGCCCTTTCTCACTCGCCTCACGCGCGGCAGACGCACACGTGAGCCTCCTCGCCTACCGGGTGCCGCTCAGCACGCTCGAAAGGCCTGTAGGAGAGAGCGAAAGAAATACGCCCTGTACCTCATTCACAGAGACAACTCGAAATGTAAATCGAAATGAATCGAAAAAAATAGCGACCTCATTGTGTTTTGAATTACACGCATATTGGAGTTGATTAGGGATAGTATCACAAATATCTTGGAAATAAGATCCCTAAGTTGATTAAATATTGTAGAGTTATTTTCACTCACGAAGAATGGCCAATGCAATGCGTGTATGTCGCCGCAATGCTTCTGGTCTAGTATAGAAAACAAGGGAGAAAGTACCAGTTCTCTTTGTATCTGGATGTTCGTTTATAGTTTAATTACTGGCGGCCTGGATAGCCGAGGTCGTAAGGCTGAAAGGCCATAGCTGTGTCGGCTCGAAGGGTCGCTGATTCGCTGGATGTTTGTGATTGTTCGTGTTGTCCTTATGTCTTCTTTCTACAGTTCCCCTACAATTAAAATAATTACAGTGGTCTCTATATTACTAGGTTGTAAAAGAGTCACATAAAATAATGATTGTGAATATGAAGTTAATAACCATTTTAACCATTGTCATTTTAATTCCTTTCCTCCATAATCTCTATTATTATATAAAAGGGGCACATTTCATAGCCACCAAGTGCTGAGTGAAAATGGCGGATTTACAAAATTAGTGAATTGAAAGTCGCCCCTTAAGTAATACTTGAAATTCTGAAGCAATATCCGCACGACAAAAAATGGCTGTATCAAATTGAGGTTCGTATTTCACACACGTTTTACATACATATTTCACATCCTTATGGACATGGAACGTTTACTTACTTACGCGATTGGAAATCTACTCCCCTACATATCAAATAGTGTGTTTACTGTTCATTGATAAAATAAATCAAATCAATAGTGCATCAAGTGTTTCGTAGATATGCAGTCTCAGAATATCATGTACACATTTTCCCAACAAAGACCGTTCAATTTGACTTGTGTTCATTTCAAATCGTTTGTTCTTTTAATGAATTCTTCACGTCTCTAATATGTATTTCCACGGGTTCGAATGATGTGCAGTTTAATGTGCTCAAAGCGAATGCGCGATAAGTGATGAACGAAGATCGGTGAAATGAGTGATGGATCATGAATGATGAGCGATGAGTGATGAGCGATGAGTGATGAGTGATGAATGATGAGCGATGAATGATGAGCGATGAAAGATGAGCGATGAAAGATGAGCGATGAAAGATGAGCGATGAATGATGAACGATGAATGATGAGCTATGAACGATGAATGATGAACTATGAGTGATGAATGATGAGCTATGAGTGATGAGTGATGAATCATGAGCGATGACTGATGAATCATGAGTGATGAATGATGAGCGATGAGTGATGATGATGAGTGATGAATGATGAGCGATGAGTGATGATGATGAGTGATGAATGATAAGTTATGAATGATGAATGATGAGATATGAGTAATGAATGATGAGCGATGACTGATGAATGATGAGTGATGAATGATGAGCGATGAATGATAAGCTATGAACGATGAGCTATGAGCGATGAATGATGAGCGATGAAAGGATGAGAGATTGATTCCGAGCGATGAAAGATGTATGATGAATGATGAGCGATGACTGATGACTGATGAGTGATGAGTGATGAATCATGAGTGATGAATGATGAGCGATGAGTGATGAATGATGAGCTATAAACGGTGAATGATGAGCGATGAAAGGGATGAGAGAGTGATTCCGAGCGACAAGTGATGATCCATGAAAGTTGAGATGAGCGCTGAGCGCTGAACAACGTGCGATGATCAACAAGCGTCGTGCGTTGCAGGGAACGCGTGGATCCTGACGCGCGCGCGCACCCCGACTCTGCCGGTGATGGAACGCGCGTACGCCGCCGTCGACCGCAACGGCATCAGCCGCGCCTTCTTCATCCGCACCGACCAGAAGAACTGCCCCGCCCACTACTGACCCCTCCCCCGCACCACCACCACCACCACCACCACATCACCCACCTCATCGCCTATTTATTGTCATCATAGCGCTTAGATGTGATACATTTTATTTATTTATTTAATTTATTGTTCAATAAATTTAAGTTTTACCTCTTGTGTTAAATTATTTTTCATCTCTCCCTTACACACGTTTCCTTTTTTTAAGAATTTTTTTTCAAACAAATGAATAATTTTTTTCTGTTGAAAAAGTGATGACGAGTTTACTCGTATACTATAACAGTTTATATTTTATTGTCATTTTAGTAACTTCGCATTTTAAACTTGTCGATAAATAGTAGGTAGAGTCAACTCCTTCTTTTACAATTTCGTCTTCACTGACTTAAGGGAACATTTAATACACTTTTCTCTTGGTATATTTGGGAGCAAGGACGTTTTTCTGTACTAATTAGTACAAAAGTACAGTACAAGAGTACAATTAGTACAAACTAATTAGTAGTAAGGAAATATTAAACACTATTTTTGTAGTTGTACATCGAGGTTTCAGATAAAATAATAATATGTAGCTTGTCACATGCGATGCTGTCTTGTAATAATTTCTTTACGATTTGTTGGAAGAATTTTTTTGGCAGCAAGTAATTTCCATTTTAGCTTGGAATAAAAATACAAAATTATCATTACTAAAACGAAGAGGATTGATTTAATATTTTCGAAACAAAACGTTTTGGAAATTTTGGGAGTATACAGGCAGAACCGTGACCTGAGCATAGAGATAAAGAGGAGTGGGGATACAAAGCGGTAAATAACTTGGTTTGCAAATGTGACAAAAAATTGCCAGCGGTTTCAGGAAGATCGTGGTTTCTAAGTAACATGCGACAATGGTTATTTACAATTCCAGTGTCTAGCCTGAAAAACCTGTGAAGTGTTTTGCCTGACAGCATGGAATATTAAAATGATCATGCCCGTTTCACCTGGTAATTTCTGGACTGGTATTTTAATTGTGCATTGGACGGTTTCCTATTCTATTATGCTTAGGATGACTACAGCGCGAATACCAGATACGTTGCCAAACTACAAAAATTCATTTATTTCATTCAGTATTTCACATTCTTTAACATAATATTTAATGCAATAATTTCTTTTGAAGGTTTCCTTAAAATGAGTAGTGTACGTCAAGCATAATTTTCTGTTAATATTCAAATAAAATTTACTTACTAGAAAAAAATGAACTTCTTTATCTTGTTCCAAAAAACATAAGAGTGACAATAAAAGGAAGAGATGTAAATAACATAAAATAATATTATGACGCGGTTAATTGCTGCAAGCTCTTGACAATCGCTGTCACTAAATCGTTGATTTTTCTAGACCACACTAAATACATATAACAAATATAAGGGGTCAAATTTTGCCTTGATTTACAATAAATACTTACTAGTTTGAATGATTTCTTTAGTACATTACGTAAGTATTAAGTATAAAAAAATAACCACACGTGTTGTGGTGAATATTCATTTTTATTCTATATGATCAGTTCTCTGCAAATTATATTTTTAAATGTTTTCCTGCTCATTCATCATTATTGTTTTTCGAAGTTTCTAACAATAGAATTTACATTACACATCATTTCAATAGTTTATTTGAACACAATGCACGCCACAGGAATCTGAGCAACTATTTAAGAACAACTATTTTAATAATTTATTATTTTCATTTTATAGGACATAATATTGAGAGATGAAGATAAATATCAGATGGAGTGAGTTAAAGAGGTTTGCCTTTCTGGAATTCTGCTTTGCTGGGTAGTGGAGTAATGACAAAGAATAAGATGAGAATGTTCTGAGATTTGTACTTTTTTCAGTTTCCAATTTGGCGCATTAATAATTATTCGTAGTTTTATTGCAATACTTGGATTTTTAAATGTTTGATTTGGCAACTCCACCTATTTAGAGCAAAATATATTAAATATGGACAAATTATTTACTTGTAATTAGGGACACCTTTTTTCTTTACCTTGACCTTTTGTTAACTAAAGGATAAATAATTTATTAATTATTAATTACAGGATATCTTTGAGTAAGTTTTTCCTATTCTGTTATCAATACACCTTTTCAACGTTATTTTTGGTCCAAGCCAATTTCTAGACATTTATCCGTTTCGTTGCAGCCTAGCCATGAGATCTCATTATTATTTAATTGCAGTGGAAGGGTGAAGTTCTGGCCTTCTCAGAAAGAAAATATTTGCTTTCGACGTTTATGAATTTAATTCTATCATTCTTTTTTCTTTGTTATGATCTTTCATACCTAGACTTTTTAGCCATACCCGAGATGAATGGTTTTGATGGGTGAGCTAAGATCTGCTTTGAATCGCGATAGATCAGTGGCAAAATAAGATGGAACTCAATCGAACCTCGAGAAATCTCGCCACGAACCCACATTGCCTACCATAAATTGTGTATGGTTCGACGAGGATTTGAATCCCGCTATCCAAAGGAGAACGGTGAACGGTCTGACCACTATACTCCGACAGGTTCTCTGGACAAATATTTAACAATAAATATGCCAGAGAAGTGTCTTCAGTCCTTAATTGATGGTATGACCTCCCCGAGGATGAAAACAACATAACTGCGCAACGCGCCGTCGCCTCGAGCGGAAGGGAAGCTCTTGGAGAAGAGCTCAAGCGAAACCTGCGGACACGACGCTTCCTTCCGCCGCCGACGCCAACACTTCCGCGCTCACCGCCTACCGCCTACCGCCTACCACCGACCATCCACATCACCTGAACGCCCAGGGGAGCCCTTATGCGCAACTGCAGGCGGCCGAAATCTAGGCTGAGAGCACAGGGACACAATCCTCGCCAAAATTCAATTCAACGTCAATGCAAAATATACTGAGCAAAGTATTTCTGTTTCGCAAAACTTCCTTAAATTGAATACTATTCCAGAAAAATTGTTTTAAGCATTCAATTCACTCTTACGGAATAATTTTAATACCTGGTTTAAATGTATTAATTTTTACCTTCCCTCTTTTATTTTAATTACCTCCAGCCCTGAAACAGATTAAGATGTTAAAAAGAAGTTATAGATTGTGACACAAGGGAACCCACTTGCGACCCGCAGCACATAATTCGCAGCAGCATATTATCATCGTACAGAACTCCGAAAGGACACGTCCTACGACCTTAAAATAAGGCTTTTGTAAACCTAAAAGCGTATAAATTATGCTTCTTACGCCGTAATCTAGAAAATTATATTGTTTGGAAGTTCTGTGTATTACATTTTCGGGCAAACCCCCTCACCGTATTACGTGTTATCAGAAACTTTTGATGTGGGGCTCCAGTTTCTAGCTATGTTTTCTTTTAAAACCATTATTTATAAGAGCGGACTGTTTGTACGTGTCGGAGTATTATAAAATAATTCTCTAAAAAGTAATTTAAGAGTAAGTTAAGAGTAATTTAAGTAAAGTTGTCTCAGAAAACACTTGGCACACTCATAAACCGGTGGCGATTCGTGGCGTTTGTAGCTTGTTTACATTACAACCAAAAATTTACGCACATATATTGAAGTAGTGTTGGTACATAATGGTACAAATTTTACCGTATTAGCTTTTTATTTTCTTTGGTCTCGGCTACCTATACTAACTTGCCAGATTCTCTTGACAGCTGCCATCTATTGTCGCTCAAAAATATTACTTTGAAATTTTCTTTATTTTTTTGGTTTCCTAATAGTAGAACGGAAATATTATTTAAGAACAGTAAAAACTCGTCCTAAATGGCGATTTTCTTTGGAAAAAATTGGAGCTGTTTTTCAGAAAAAAGCGTTTCAGCGTTTGTAAAAATGCTGAGTTTTGAGGTAATTTGCACAGAAAACTATCGAGTTTTCGAAAAACTTAATATGACATTAATTAATGCACATGTACTCTAAATAATATTATGGACAAATTGCTGCTCCTGTAAATACTAACGACGCGAAAGATATTTTTTTATTTTTTGAAAACGAAACAAAAAGAATAGAGTAATATTTCGTTTATGTCATCTCACTGTATACATACCAATAGTACATCCCAATATACCCACCAATAGTTTAAAGAAAACAATTAGAGTATTTTCGAGAAAATCTGATTTTTGTTGTATCTAAAATTGCACATATTTCAAACAATATTGCTAAAAAACTACTAAAATTTTGAAAAATGAACATGACCTTAATGAAAGAACTAATTATGGAGAACAAATTTCATTTGAAGGAACAATGTATATTTTCAATTTTGTAGTAGAAAGACGCCGAAAAAATTCAAAATTTTGCAATTATTGAAAATTCAAAGTTATCAGTGAAAATAGTATAAAGCACCCCCCAAAAATTAATCAATGGTATTGAAAACCCCACAACTTTGATTAAGGGCAAATGGACAGGGGTTCATTCCGTTTTGAAAAAATCGTATTCATAGTTTAGGAGTTAGCGTTGTTCACATACACCAGACAGACGGACGGACGTTTTGGCGTCAATCAATTTTTCGGCATCAAGGACGCACAAAACATGAATTCTGACTACACACGTGTTAGACATTTTTTTTTCTAAATTTAGCAACTGAATTTGTTCACTTTTTTGTTACCAGGGCCCAGCAATAATTTTTTATGTAGTTTTTTCGCGCATCATTACATAACTTTCCCTATACTACGTATATTACTCCGTAGATACGTATGTATACGGAAAAATAAAATATAAATAGTATAATACGATTTACAATATGAAATTTTGTGTCGTGCATAATTGCATCATAATTTCTTTCTTGAACTGCAAATAAGATACAAGAAAATTATTCACGGGTTTACTGTGGGCCTGGTCGTTTACGTCATGTTTTTATCTAGAGCCACAATACTAAAGCTTTGGTGATAATGACCCATTGGCTGCGTGCTGAGGGGGGGCATGTATCACAAATGTATTAGTCAACTAATCAGTGGACATGGCTGACGACTCTCCCTTCGATCTTGTCGCCAATGCACCCTAGGTAACAAGGTAAATCGAAT